ATGTAACAAAATATATACAAATTAATACCTAAATAGGCACATAGTAGTATACTTAAAGTATGATGTAAAGTTCACTTAAAGAAAACTTACGAGTATACTTGCAGTATAAAACTACTAAACTAGTAGTTTACTGAGAGTATACTTCAAGGTGTACTAAAAATGCTACTACAAGTATTTAATTAGTCAACTATCAGTATACCTATAAGTTCACTTTTAGTATAGTTGCAGTACAAACTAAACATTTTGATGTAAACTAGTTGTGTACTCAAAGTTTACTACTGTTATACTTAAAAGTATACTTTTATATAAAGTGGGCCAATTTAGTCCCAAGGAGTATTGAAATAGTACACTTACAAGTATACTAGTAGTACACTGATATTTGTATACGTACTACATAGAGTATACTTAAAATATACTTGAACTTTACTTAAGTATACTTCCTAAAATAAACTTGAAGTATACTACTTTTTGGTAAGGGTACATATATCTTGCTTAATAATCATGAGGCAGAATTTCGCCATTGGACGGATGCAACGTCCATAGACCACGCCTTCGCCGAAGCAGGTATTGTAAGCTCCTAAAGGATGTTCTGCGCCATGAAAGAGAAACAAAACTACAAAACCTGTTCCCAGTTTCTGGTCGAATGAAGTGAAGTGCGCTGAGGTTTCAAAGGAAGATATCTGCTGACAAAATTCATTACAAACTAACAGAGGAGTCCGTTTTATTCAGGTGTTCGTTCATTTAAAGAAGAGAACATGAATTGTATTCCTCTCGTCCTGCTTCTCTTTGGTTTGAGCTCAACGCTAGCACAGAATGCAACATCTCCAAATACTACAACACAATCTTCGACAACTTCGACAACACAGACTACAAGTAAAGCACCGACTACAACGCCACGTCCAAGTAAGGCGAATAGATACTTCTAGAGTAAAAAGGTTCAATGTTTTGTTACTGTTTCAGAACCTCTAGTTTCATAGGTGTTGAATTTACATACAAACACATTTAAAACTTGGTATTTGTCCTTTGACATGAATTTACTGTGATTAGAATAACTAGACTTATTTTTATAGCTGTTTACTACTTAAACGAAATGGGCAATAAAATATTACAAATACACTGTTTGTAGAGCCCAAACATAAGACCTGCTGTTAATGTTAAACCATTTAATTCTTTTGAAAGACCAATATGGTGTACTATAAATAACTGCCTTTATCTGATTTCCCATGCTGCTTTTGTCTGGTTTCATAACTAAGGATGGCCAAGGCAACCACTGTCTCATAGGGTGTAATTGTTGCCTAATGTATTGAGTCAGGCTGTAAAGCTTGTTGTAGTGTTTAACACAGAATTAGATTCATTAACGAGTCTCTAACCACAGTTCATTTCTACAACTAATGTATCCTCTCTCACACTTTTCTAGGTTGCGAGAGCAAGAATGGTACAACCTGTGAGGAATGCTTGGCATATGTGGATGTGAGTTTGGATTCAATTTTGCCTCTCTCTTTGATGTTTGGAGATATTATTGTCCTTATATTTTTGCCTGTCGCTATAGCCCACAAAGCAGACTGGCCTGATTTATTCGCACCACTTTATATTGGTCAAAACATGTTATAGTATGAGAGATGTATGAACCGTATAAATAAGATATGAGGAGAACTAAAAACATGAGGAAACATGAGATGAGAAAGAGAAAAACAGAGTGACAAGGAAATAATGAACTCGGCAAGCAGCAAAATTGGCAGGATTTTTTACTCTTATCAGATCATCACGTACCTCACCTGTGGAACAGGTTTGGGCTGTTTTGGATGTTTACAGCTTCATACTCTTTCAGAGAGCTCTGCGTCACTTGAGACGTCCTGTGCACTTCCCTTAACCCTTTAACTGTCACCCGTCCCCTCTGTGGGACGCCTAAGTTTACTTCACAATATTACAATTAAATCCTAATCTAATCATGACAAACTATATATTGTTGGAAAGGTCTAAGACTCCTAAATAGATATTTTACCAATGTTTTTGTTAAAAAATGCTGTAGGAAAAGTAATAGATTAACAGTGCATTAATATGAAAATGGTACATCAATATCATGTTACAAAATGTTTTCGTTCATGAATTATAACAATTTAAGTTTGGATGGTGCACTTTCATGTCTATGTTCAAAAATGTGAGTGACAGTTTTAAAAAGTCAGTCACGTAAACGTTCATATACTGAGGTCGGCCTTTTATTTAGTGGTGCTAAAGCAAGCATCACTGTCACTATAATTCACACTTAGGGCTAGAGATTTGAACAAAAATCCAACCCTGAGTATTAAACCTCAGACATGAATTGTTTTGTAACATTTGTGTAATGGACACAAATAATACCTCAAATCCTAGCTTATTGTGAAGAGGTGTGGTAATACTTTTCTAAGCAATCAGAGTTGCAGTTTTCACCTGCTGATATTTTACATTTTAAACTATTTCTCATGTGTTTACTCATGGTGCTAACAGGTCCATCAATGCATTTGAATTGTTTGTGTATATTTTAGCTATAGAATTCAGTCTGTTGTTGCTGTGTGACGTTGACATTCTGTATTTAAGACACTCCCAACATACCTTTTATATACCACAGACACGCACACACAGCTGTTCTCACAGTTACTGACGTGTGTGTCAGTATCAACCCTGTAATAACTCGTCTCTACTGATGTCATCATTGTTTGTGTAACTACCTGCAACCCTAAATTCAGAGAATACAACTTTGAAGCTTTGAATCCTGGATACAGTGGATGACTGCATATAACGATCTTAGTCTTCAATCTGTCTTTTTAGTGTCTGTGGTGCATTCCAACTAAAACATGTTTAACGTACCCAGCCAAAACCATCCTGCCCCCCAATTCCCTCTGCCCACTGAATAATGCTCGATGGGGCCTTTGCACAAGTAAGAAACATTTTTCTCTCACTTATTTTTCTGATTATTTACGATACTGGGTTTCCCAGCCTTTATCAACTTTTCTTTCTTGTCTTCCTTTTTAAGTAGACATAGCACAAAACAAAGATGAAAATCAATTGTGATCATTTAAATCACAAAACAACAACACAATAATAATAATTATTAGGGATGCACAAAATACAGTCAAGTCACCTTTATTTGTATAGCGCTTTATACAATACTGATTGTGTCAAAGCAGCTTTACAGTGTCAAACAGGAAAATAGTTTGTCAATAATACAAGAAGACAATATCAAAGAGTCATTTTTCCAGATAAAATCAGTTCATTGATGATTCAGTGATGTCATCATCCAGTTCAGCTCTCTTCCAATAGTGTCTGTGCAATCAGTCAAGCGCCCCCAAACTAAGCACGCCGAAGGCGACAGTGGCAAAAAAACAAAACTACATCGGTGACAGAAATGGAGAAAAAAACATTGGGAGAAACCAGGATAAGTCGGGGGGCAGCTCTACTCTGGCCAGTCGAAACCAGCATGGTGTGGTTTAATTACAGCTGCAACACAGGTCATATTGTGCAGAGGACTCGTCTGGTTCCTGTGGTTTTGTGCCGATGGTCGTCGAGGTGACGAGGTCTTCGCAGGAGATCTGTCTCTGGGGTGCATCTAGTTGAAATGGTCTCCGCTGACATTCAGGGCTGATTGGTTGATGGTTCCGGTTGACCTAATTAATGCAGCTTAACAATCCTTTAACGGATTTGAATTGTAGAAATGTGACAGTGTATTGTGTATGCCAGGTTAAAGAGATAGGACTTTGATCTAGATTTAAACTGACAGAGTGTGTCTGCCTCCCGAACAATGCTAGGTAGTTTGTTCCAGAGTAAATAGGAAAAGGATCTGCTGCCTGCAGTTGATTTTGATATTGTAGGTATTATCAAATGACCAGAGTTTTGAGATTGCAGCGAACGTGAAGGACAATAATGTAATGTGAGCTTGTGCAAGTTTTGAGGAGCTAAACCATTCAGGGCTTTATAAGTAATTAGCAAACCAACAGGGAGAAAATAAGAACATTTGTAATCCAGAACAATAACAGAAGACACAGGGTAAAAATACATGGGGAACAAAATCGAGATGTAAACAGAACAGGTGTGGAGCCAGTTCAGGAGGCTGGTGAGAGGCAGGTAACGGGAATAGGGGACAGTTCATAGAGCCAGGGAGAAGCCCGGAGCAGGAGGAGTCAGGCAGAGTTCCAGACCGCAGACAGGACAGCGGCCCACGGTGGAGTCGCCAGAGGGAGGAGCCATGGTGGAGTTAGGGCTGGTGACACTAGGGGGAAAACAGACGGAGACAGAGCCGATGGAAGAGGAGCACATGATGGAGATGGAGACGGAGAGCCGCAGAGCCAGGGTGACACAGAGGTTCTGGAGGGGCAAGACGGAGCAGATGGCTCAGATGACCGAGGCGGCGGTGGGGATCTGGAAGACTGCGGTGGAGCTGGAGTCACAGAGGACAAGGTGGAGCTGGAGGGAAGGAGGAGCCAGAAGCGAGCGCTTAGGAAAGTGCGTAAGGTACACCAGATCCAAAAAGTCCCTGGTATGGTCCTCCAGGAGCTGAAAGACTGGTAAATCCATGCAGGAGAGAAAAAAAAACACAAAGAAAGAAAGAAAAACGCAGCAATTATAATCTAATTTTATTAATTTTGAGGGTCTGCTATTCTGTTACGGGCTGTCCAGTATAAAGAGTGCACGGCAGAGGACTAGAGTCCAAGTAAGTAACAGGGAGAAAACAAGAACATCAGTAATCCAAAATAATAGCTGACACAGAACTGAGGAAACCGTCTCAATTGTGAAATCCTTCCAGTGCACTGGAAAGTTCCCTGAAAAAAAAAATTTCACACAATGCACCGCAAAAGCTAGGGAGCATTGGTGCTCACTATGCTCCCTTACCGGAAATTACGTCACATTTCTGAAGCGCAAAACAAACCACACGAGCCAACTTAAATATAATGACACGTGATAGAACATTTGAAAAGACAAACCAAAATTTTTGGAGTATGTTTCAACATAAACACACGTCGCTAAACAGGTAATGAACACATCTAGTTAACATTTGTAATTAATATTCAGCTGAAATGTTGTAAGAACATGTAAAAGAAGAATGTGTTTAAAGAGAATTAAAAAATTATATTAAAAATAGTTTGGTCCTGCCTGTTTTTGATTAATACCAGCGGTGACGTTCTAAAATGTTGTCCATTGACATTGTACATAGTCATGTCACCGGAACTTGAGTAATCACTGTCCCAATGTGCAGTGAGCCAGGGAACTTACCAGTGAACAAATTTGTGTACACGATATACTGATTCACAAGCTTGGGAGCTAGGGAGCTGATTGAGACGCACCCACAGGGTTTAAATACATGGGGAATGTAATCAAGATGAAAACAGAACAGGTGTGGAGCCTAGTGAACAAACTAGGGAACTAATGCAGGGGAATAGAAATACAGAGAAAACTAAACCAAAATGGATCAGAACAGAACATAAATGTGAAAATTGGTGCATCCCTAATAATTAATACTAATTAAGATATTTTTAAGGCATGTTATGGTTTTATTGCTGTCTAATAGTAATTTTCTGTTATTATTGTGTCAAAAAAAACTGAAGTAAAAAAAATCATTAAAAACTTTTATGTATATTGGTAATCAGGCACTTAACCCTCATAATGCATTCAAAATCTGTATAGTATATGTGGATTCTGAGTCTGTTAAACAACTTTAACTTAAAATGTGATCAGAAACTTCTCATTAATGAGTGAATGTGAAAACACAAAGTTTCCATTGTTACTGTTATTACCAAGTTATTATTGCATGTACCCCTTTTTAATTAAAAATTGAGAAATTCTTTGAAATTTTAAATTACACATGAATCACACGTTTAAAAAAAACTATTATGCAAAAAATATATATTTTATTCTTCAATATTGATGAGAAATGTTATTTGGATATATCATTGTATGAAATTTAGAACATATAATCTGAGAATTCTTAACCCCATTGGAATGAATTAATTTTAATTAAATTCTTCTCAATTTATAACTCATGATTTCTCAAAAACAGTCAATTTATGAAGCCTACATTTTTATTTCTAACAAAACATCAAAACTACATAATAGTTGTATTACTCTGTAAAGTTTTTTAAACCAAGAAAATTCATAAATATTTTTAAATAATAAATCAATATAATTTTTGACACATCAGATAATTTTACAAAAGTATTTTTACACCTAATGATTCTTCATACATACAAAACATTTACAATTTTTAATGGTTTTAATGAACAAAAGACCTCTTCTTAAAAAATAATTGTAAAAAATCTGAAAAAAATGAAATGCTGTCTTAATTTGCAAAGTTTTGTTCCCTTACTAAAAACTAATTTTTTTTTATGTATATCTTGATCAGACCCAAATGCGTTATGAGGGTTAAACATAATTAAAATTTGTATCAGTCATAAACAAGCAATATCAGAATTATCTGTATCTTTTCTCTAGCCCAAAACTAAAAAGCAACTACAGTACTTAATCAATATTACCATAATCACATATTGCCTTGCCATAAATGTTATATGAGTTGAAACAGCATCCCCTGGAGATAATTTTTTAACACTTTCTATGACTTTCTCTTTTTTTGTGGAATTCAGTAAACTTCCAGATTTTGATCATTACATTGTCAGTGGCTGCAGCGCTGCTCATCATTGGTTTTTTGCTGTGTATTTTCTGTTGCTGCAAGTGTGAGAACATTGGGTAAGTCTGAACATACAAGATGTTTGATCTATTGTATGTCACATAAACTTTTATTATATGGTTGACAAATGAGTCGCACCCTCCCTTTAGCTTTCTTAAATACTACAGGGAGTTGGTGTCACCTCCCTCAGGCTGTAGATAAAGTCAAAATACTTAAAAACTTAAAATGTGAATATTTTCAACCTCTCTGCATCGCTGTAAAATGTTAGAGAACCAAGAGACCTCTAGATCATTAAAGAACGGCCTCAACTTTCTCAATTAAACAAATTTTGTCTTCCACAGATCTGCTCGATTTCAAAACAGGATGAACCGGCAATCAGACAAGACAAAAACAAAACAAGAGCAGAGGTAAGAGTAATTGACATTTGAATATTCAAAATGGAGATGACAGACAGCAGGAGGTGCAAGACAATACGTAAAACCAGATAAAAGGGGAATAATGGACATTTTGATCATTTGACAAATGATGTTCTATGAGAAACCTGTTCTACAGCTGTAATGGGTACTGATTGTCAACATACCTTTAGGGTGTGAGTGTGAGTTCACTAGGAATTTATGTTCTTGTGTTCTTGTTTCACAGAAAAACTGAGTTGAAGATTAGACATGATGAGATCCGACAAAAATATGGTGAGTCAACGATTCCCCTCATCTCAGAAACGGCATAAATAAGTGAATTTGAACTGGTTGTTATGTTGGCAGTGCCAGAAAAATAAGTCATACTGTCAATCAATATAAAGGTAAGGAGAATATGACAGTGTTTCAAAAATAGGTCCAGCCTAATGTTTTGGAATGGTTTCAAAAAATGCTGCATGTTTTTTTTTTTTTTGGAATGACTAGTCAATTTTGCAGTCTAGTCAAATTCTTTATGAAGTTGTGCTCCCTCTAGTGGTAATTATTTATTCAATTTGTCTTCTTGTGTTTATTCAGTAAATACACCTGGACATGAATCATGATGAATGTATATGTGTACATTCAGATTATTTTTGTGTTCATAATATTTAACATTACCAAGCAACGTCTTTAAGATTTTATTCAGTGGCCTTTTTGTTTAGAAAAGAAGTTACTGTATGTTTGATTGAAAGTTAATTAATTATGATTAATTTATATAATTTTATCATCTTCTTATTTCCCCCTGTCTCTCTCTGTCAGGTCTCAGCAGGGCAAGTCCTTACGCCAGATTTGACAATCCAAGCTAAAATGATGGGTGCACTGTTTTAAAGATGAATACTTTGACTATCTGCTGCCTATTTGAAAATGATTACAATAGATGAAATCATATGACTCCACTGTGCTCAAACTGATGATTTTCAGCTTAAGTAAAATTCAGCTTAATGTCATTTCTGTTAATTTATTTTATTTACTACAATTTTCCACAAAGTATTCAATCAATGTAACCCCCCACCATAATAATATGAAAGTAACTTTATATATATATATATACAATCAAAATATTCTTTGTAAAAGTATCTATCTCTCTCATCTGAAGCCAAATGAGCAGCTGAGGTTTGGAACAGAGTGAAGGATTGCATATTAGTCCATGACTGTTTTTCATAGCCTAATATATATCATAAGATAATAGATATAATAAGATATCTGATAAATACCTTCCCATGTAATATACTAACTTTTTTAATAAGATAATTAATAATAATAATTAAAAGTTGTTTGTCTATGTTGACTTGAATGTAATTGTAAAGTTTTTTTTTTCTTTTTTTCAATAAATTGTCAGCTTGGAGGTGCTTAAATGTTCAAATGTTGATTGACCTTGGGATATGAGCTGTTTATTTCATTTTATTATTATCTTTATGCTTATTCTCTATAAGGTCTGCAATATATACAGTGGGGAAAAAAAGTATTTAGTCAGCCACCAATTGTGCAAGTATAGTTTTTATAATATTAGTTTAAAATATAGTATCTCGTTTTTAATCAACTAACACTTTGAAATCTGTACAATTTGACAACATTTATAAAAAAATAAAATAAAAAATAATAAAAACTACACCAGAATGGGAAACAGGGCTGCAAATGTGTCTCTCAGTAGGGGTGGTAAGTTAGAAGTCACTGATAAACGTACAGAACTGAAGGTTGAGGTTGATGAATGCAATCACCACCACAATTTGTGAAAAATTATTCAAATCAAATAAGATTATTGGGTTGGATACAGCTAAATATTATGTTTTTGAATTTCTCTGCCTGTAAAACAGAGGTCAAGGGCAACTAGGACAATCCAGCATTTTGACACATCAAAATGCATTTACTTTCAGTCTCTCTTCTTACCTTTAATACTTGCAGGACTATTTTAACACTAACAGCTGCTGTGAAAAACCTGACAACTTTCTATTCATCGCATAACAAGACTGGGCCAGAAAACAAAGAGCATCATTATGTACAAATTAGGAATTGTGGAATTACTGTAATACCTATAGTTGTGCCTATTGTTAAAGCAATATGTACATTTTAATTAAAAAATAACTAATTCATTAGCCTTGATGTCAGGACCTGAAAAGTACATGACTATCTACAGAAAACGACAGGAGCATCATGTGACCAGAAACCGACCAATCGTTGATGAAGTAGGTAAAGGCAAGCGCGACCCCGTCGGCAGCTGTGTTGCTCTGCTACAGTGTGAAGAGCGCATCTTGTGTTCAGTGTATTTCCAGAATACAGACCAAAAGACGCCTGCAAAAATGTCCGAAGACAAGCCTAAGGTGAGCATCCGAGTTGTACATTTCCCGTATTTTAAAGCTTTCCTCAAAACAGGCCGCGTGAGGCCGAGTTCCAGTTTCATTTTGTGCAGCCTTGCTGTGATAAGATTGCGCATTTATGCGGGAGGAAGGCGGTCGGCACGCAATCATTGTCTTGTTTTCATGCAAACGCCATCCGTTCTCAATTTGTAGGCTGGTGTTTTTATTAATAAGTGTTTTAAATGGCGTTAAGTAGATGCTCATTCAAAGGACGACATTATAGTGTATGTACCGCGCGTTTGCCCCGGTGTAATTCAGCGTTTGCGGGGTTTTCTTTGTGAGAGCGGAGTGGCGCTGACCGGCCACGTTACGCCACTAGCGTAAGGAAATGCCGCAAGAACAGCGGAACGAAATATAAAAAGCGTCGTAGTACACAATTGTCGTCCGCTATATAGATGGTAAATAACCGGACACCGTGTGTTTTCCACTCTAGTCAAAGGAATTCACTCAAAAAGTTTGAGTTGAATTATCTGTCGGTTACGGATATTGATCTGTGAGTTGCACCTCGCTGCGCCAGATGCTTAAAAATGGCGCACAGAGCCGCAACAATGTATAAGTAGACGGCTAATATATGCTGCTGCTGCATGTGCTTGGCTGTTTTTCTACGTCTTGTTCGGTTCACTAATGCTGTTATAGTTGATTAGCTGAATGTACTGAACGTAGTTATATATATATATTTTTCTCATTTCACTTAGTTCTTAAACTTAGCATCCACTAGGCCTTGATGTTCACTATTTTAAGTGTTAGCCCTCTAAGGGCCTCCTATCAGATTCCAGAGCAGGATAGCATATGTGATATATATCACTGTGTTTCATTCCTGTCAAATGTATGCGTTTTGCACTGTTTGATTTTCACTTTGTTTGTTGTTTCAGGAGGGAGTGAAAACCGAGAACGACCACATCAATCTGAAGGTGGCGGGACAGGATGGCTCGGTTGTCCAGTTCAAAATTAAAAGGCACACGCCACTCAGCAAATTAATGAAAGCGTACTGTGAGAGACAGGTAAGACTCTTCCAGGCATTTCCACTCGATCAATTACATGGTAAGAACCCTGGCACTCAGGCCATCCACTGTCACTGGCACTGTAATTTTGGAACAATGCTGTGTGAAATCACAATATGAATCACTTGTAGACCACTATGTCTAGAACTTAATATTGCTTTTAAAAATCCTTTAATAGGGTATATATCGAACATCACCTGACCAAACCTGGAAAACAGGTCTCCTTGCTTCCGCTTGTCGGAGAACGTGTTAACAGCCGTATTAAATAATAGCGATATCTATGGACTTTTAAGATAAGCAGTTAAACTAGCTAGCTGTTTTTATGTTTGACATTTTATTCAATTTTTTATATCTAAATTTGGAAATAATAAAAAAACTTTTAGATATCAGTCCGCATATGTGATGGACATTGGTTATGATCATCATTGGTATCTTCTTTAAAGGCATCTTGAGTAAAACGGCTTCATATTTAACGAAGCATATGCAAAACGCTTGAACCGGAAGCGACGAAACCCGCTTAACAGAATACGTAAGTCTGTTGCGCATAACCCCTATATAGCCTGTTCCAAGACTGATGTAAATATTGCTTTTCTTTCAGGGTTTGTCAATAAGACAGATTAGATTTAGATTTGACGGGCAACCAATTAACGAGACAGACACACCGGCGCAGGTGAGTGAAAGTGCCCCTTTTTGTTATTTTAGTGCCATTTATATACTGATGATATTTATTAAAAAAATTGTATTAGCTTTTATGTTTTCATTTTAGTTTTAGTAATTGTATTTTTGTCATTTTATTTCAAATTGGTGTCCGTTTTAGTAATTTTAGTCCTTTTTAAACAATTTAGAAATGTTGCTTTTGCAACTAACTGAAAAATAAAAGTTCAGGTTTAAAGTTTTCCATCTACGTTTTTTTTTCTCCAGGTTTATTTAAATGATCAAAAATGATTTTTAACAGTTCCAATTTTAGTTAACAATAACAACACTGGAAATCCTGATCATACACTGTTAAAAGGTTTACCAGCCCCAAGTGTAAGGTATTTTGTGTGACCAGATGATGATTGATTAATAAATATCATTTTGATAACCTAATTAGGTTAACACTTTACCATAAGGTTTCATTTGTTACATTAGTTCTTAACTATATTAGTTAACAATAAAAAATACTTCTAAAACATTTATTAATCATAGTTGATGTTAATTTCGACATTTACTAATGCATTAAAGATTAAGATGTATCTGTTAATATGAATGCTCCCAAGTTAATATGAACCAACAAAGAACTGTAATATTTTTACTAATGTTAAAAATGCTGAATAATTACTGTATTGCTTGTATGTCAATGCATTAACTAATGTGAACTTTGCATTTGTTAGTTGGAGATGGAGGACGAAGACACGATTGACGTATTTCAGCAACAAACCGGCGGCTCCTGCTAAAACTCCACACCACCTGGACCCCCACACTTATCTATTTTATTCCTCATGATGTTTCATTCAGATGCTTTCACATCGTTTCCCCTTCTCTTTCTCTCTTCTGTCATCTCTAGCTTTCCTAGAGTGGGCATCACAATTGTGTTTCCAGTAGTATTTATATACGCAATGGTTAGACAGCTACTGTGGTGGGGGAACTAACTCATGAAGGCTGTCAGAGGGCGTAGTTGTTCAGATTAACACCAGCCACCATGCACCATGGTTTTACGTTGCTCAGAACACTGATTCACTCGACAAGCCCCGGGAACCGTTGACCCCTCCATAGTATATTCGCCCAATAAAAAGTGAGGAAGCATAATTTTTTTTTTCACCTTTCAATTCTTAAGAGCTTTAAGTAGGCCTGTTTCAACTCCGATTCTATTTGCCTGTATGTGTTGTAGAAATATGTTTGACCAGTGTTGTATTCATCTGCCTTTTTAATGGGGCCGCTTCTCGTATGAGCTCACTGTAGGGACAGGATCTGTAAACCATCTCGTTTGTCGTTTAAAAATGAAGACCACACGAGACAATTTACAGTGACCCCATCTGGACCAAATCCCAAAGATGGTACTCGATTAGCTGATGAGGGCAAGAATACACCAACAAGTTCATACTTTTAAATGTCTAGAAATATTTCCATGTACCATTCCCATTTTCTCTTATGTGTTGGTTGAGGAGACAGGAATGATCTAAAAAAGACCCAATATATATTTTTTCCTGTTCATTACTAACCCCCGCATACCTCCCCCATCCCCCATCCCTTGCCCTCCCACTATAATTCATATCAAATTCTTTTTTTTTTTTTGGTCCTTTACTACTGTAAACAATAAATATAGTTTGGTACTCATTTTGTTTTGCGGAGGCTTTTTCGTCACATCCAAAGAGTGCATTTTTAAAAATTGTTTAATAACATTTTTAGTTTGTCATCAAGAAGCCTGTAGAAAATCTTATAGAAGCACAATGACGCATCCTTTAACAAGATTTTAAAAAGTTTCTTTGTACAGTTATTACATGTATAAACATACAAACCATGAGATGAAGTGTCAAAAGATTAAATCTAAAATATAAATAACATCTGGAGTGTCACAAAGGCACTTGATTGTACATGTCACACATGTAGCTTTTTGCATCGTCTTACAAGACGAGATGCAGTGTCTTCAAGATTAAAATATATTTCTAAAAATCTACAGTAAGTTACAGAGAACGAAATGCTTGTAAAACACTTTTCTTAAACTGAAGTGCAAAACTAAAAAAAACTTGCCTTCAGAATGGTGGTGAACAATATTTTCTTGATATTAAAACTATTTGATCGGTCAGAAGTAATGAAGTCCTGTAATAATACTCTTATTGTGTGCAGGTTGCATGTTCGGATGAAATGAACAAACACCGCAACCTACTTGAGCGACCGTACTGTTTTTCTCCCAAAACCCTCTCGTAAAAGCTTTAGTGTCTGAAAGGGAGTCTGGAATTTTTTTAGGGAATTTCAGGTCAAGTATATCCGGCAATATAGAATTGTCTATGAAGAGAACTAAGAATCCACTAGAGCTTATAGAATTGTCTTCGCTGGTTACTTGTACAACAACTTTAGCATGTTTGCTGCTCTCACATTCATGTTCTTTCTCCATGGATGCTATGGCACAGCCAGAACAGACACTTCACTAATGTGTGTGTGTATTTAATTAGGAGCTGTATTTACAGGTTTCCATCAGCTACACCTTTCCGTTCTGTAACCCTACAAATAGCATTAGAAGCTCGATTTTTATCTTCTGGCAGAATGCAAGAAAGCCTTTTCTCATTCTTCTTAAGAGCTGCATAGAGTTACTATGCCCATGGAGATGGCTGTAGACCTGAGTAAACATCTTCAAATTTATCCATTTACATTTGTGGGGACAGTGTAATTCAAGTGTCTGGTCTTTTTCCCTTGTGAAGCACCACCTGTGTTATTGGGATGTCTCTCTTGTGTGTTCTGCACTGAGAACAGAAATGGAGAGTCTGCAGATTCTTTGCTTTCGCCACAAGGAGGCGCAAGAAGACCGTCGATGTGTAATGTGTTTACAAGAGCCCAGCTTCCCGGCACATGTAGTAAAACTGGCCTCTTTTTGCAATAAGGTTACTTGGAGAATCCATCTCGATTATATGCCCTTTATCCATGACAATTACCCTGAGAAAACAAAAAAATAAGGTAACGTCAAAAACATTAACAAATCAATGTGTAACAGGCAAATACATCACAATCTAACGAGGTTCCCAAACTGTAGCGACGTCCGCAAAAATATGTATAAAAGCGCTAAATGTATTTGTTTGGTCACTGCAGTGTTAATAAAACATTATTAATTCTGTCACTTGAACAATAATAATAATTAACACTTGGGGTATCAGATAACCGCGTCTATTTTCATAAATTACGCAAACTGTTCCTGTACATTAGAATTGAGTCACACAAATGAACACGTGGTGAAAGACAAAATGTTACGCCTCCAAATTATGATGAGAAGGTAAGCAGCTAAATCCCTCTTTAAAGGGTTAGTTCGCCCGAAAATGAAAATTCTGTCATTAATTACTCACCCTCGCGTCGTTTCAAACCCCTAAGACCTTCGTTCATCTTCAGAACACAAATGAAGATATTTTTGATGGAATCTGAGAGCTGTCTGACCCTCCATAGACAGCAACGCAACTGAAATGTTCCCAAGTCCAGAGACGTAGCAAGGAGATCGGTAAAATAATCCATGTGACATCAGTGGTTCATCCGCAATTATTCAAAGCTACAAGAATACTTTTTGTGCGCAAAAAAGAAAAAAAAATAACGACTTTATTCAACAATTTCTCTCCTTTGCATCACCCTGGTGCCATTTTGGAGAATATTCGCTGACACAGGCTGTTCTGTAATACGTTGTTTACGTCCAGCTGATACTCTCCAAAATGGCGCTACAGGGTGATGCGGAGGAGACAAATTGTTGAATAAAGTCATAATTTTTTTTATTTTGCGCACAAAGTATTCTCGTAGCTTCGTATAATTGCGGTTGAACCACTGATGTCACATGGATTATTTTACAGATCTCCTTGCTACGTTTCTGGACTTGGGAACATTTCAGTTGTGTTGCTGTCTATGCAGATTCCATCAAAAACATCTTAAATTGTGTTCCCGAAGATGAACGAAGGTCTTACGGGTTTGAAATGACATGAGGGTGAGTAATTAATGACAGAATGTTCATTTTTGGGTGAACTATCCCTTAAATTTTTTTTCTTATTCTTTTTCTTGCAGCAAATGGAAATGCAAGAATTGCTGTTTCCAAAACACGTCTCCTATTAATGCGGTCACAGTTAACGAAAGTTCAGCTAAATTTGTCTATAGCGTAGCGATGTATGAAGCACAGCTCAAAGTCTTCTTTCTGTTGGTCAGAGCGGTGAAATTGCTTGACTCCGATGCGAAATCTGCATGAGGAAATATTTTGTCCTCATGCGAAATTCCCAATCCCGTGGATTCCTCTTGAAATGGCTGGATTTCACACAACGGTACAACGGTAAATGTGACCATATTGTTTTGGACCACTCCAACAAACAGAACAATTTTTGAGAATGCCACAGAATAAAGTTTGGGAACCACTGTTCAGTGGCTTGGATCAAGACATACTTTGTGTAATCCATAATGGTATTGAGGCGGTGTGCGATGGTAAGAACAGCACAATCCTCAAACTGGCTGCGGATGGTAGACTGGATCAGGGTGTCTGTCTCCAGGTCCAATGCAGCTGTGGCCTCATCCAGCACCAAAATGTTTGTCTTTCGGAGAAGAGCTCTTGCTAGACATACCAGCTGCCTCTGACCAAGACTGCAGGAGGAGAACCATTCACCATTGTTAATCCAAAGTCTCTACTGATTAAAATGTCATGGCTGCAACTTGCAGGCCATTGGTGAACTTAAAATAAAAAGACTTTAAACCACTTTTTAGTTATTTAAAATCATGAAAGAATAGCACTTTTGGATGCACACACCTGAGATTTTCTCCTCCTTCTGAGCACTCATGATTGAGTTTATCTGGAAGTTCAGACACAAAGTTTTTAAGGTGAGCAAGTTCCAGGGCATTCCACACCTCCTCATCTGAATAGGCATCGAAGGGGTCAAGGTTCATACGGAGAGATCCAGAGAACAGCACTGGGTCCTGGAAGGATATTAAAATGGCAAAACAGACTGGTGAGGAGTTCATAATAATTTGAAATTGCCACAATGTGAAGAAGAAATTATAGAGTAATTTTGGTTCCAGGTGGTGTATCTCAGTTGTGTACACACTTGTGGAATGATGGTGATGCGGGATCTTAGATCATGAAGCCCGATCTCTGCAATGTTGATTCCATCGATGTAGATCTGTCCTTTTGCTGCTTCCAAGATCCGGAAAATTCCAAGAGCCAAAGATGATTTTCCTGCACCAGTTCTTCCCACAATACCAATCTGAAAGGATAAGGAACCAAAGAATAAGACTGCAGGAACTTTTTCAACATTGCTTGACTTCCAGACAAAGAAATGATGGAACGATTATCAGGAACATTTTGCATTACTACAATCCCACCAAATGTTTGAGCTACTCCCTCAAGGTCTACAAGAATATAACCTTGTTCAAGAGAAGAGGCAAGGTATATATCACCCATATAATATAAACAGCAATAATATTTTAGAGTAGTAAATGCTGATGTAGAAAATGTCAAAGCCTTCACTTGTACCTTCTCCCGCTCTTTGATGTGAACAGAAATGCCCTTCAGGGCCAACTCTAGGCCTTTACGATACTGAAGGCCATAATCCTGAAATTCAATGGTCCCTTTTTGAGGCCAAGATGGCGGTAAAGAACTTCCCTCTATGCTCCAAGCTGCCTGTAAATAATGATACAGACAGTAAAAATGCTTGCTATTACTGGCCAACAAAGAAACAATTATTTACACTAAGAAATAAAAGCGGATAAAATTAACTATTAAAAAATATATATATTTTAATAGATTGAATTTTAATTATGCTGTACAGCCACACTCACCTCTTTTGGTGTGTCTGCATACTCTTTCACTCTCTCAACTGACACAATGTTGTTCTCTACATCTGTCCATGACCTTACAATCCAGCTCAGGAAACCTGTCACCTGAGAGACAGCAAACACATTCAAGCATTAAAACAGTCACCATGGATGGGATCTGATTTGTCTGATCTAACACAGACAAACTACAAATAATGGATTTTCCATGCATTTATTCTATGCTTTTTCATTTGAAAATGGCTCACCACAACTGAAAGATACACCACAGCAGATCTTGTGCAAGAATTAAAAACTTTTTTGGTTTGAGGGTGGCTCTCGGAATATTTGTGTTAGTAATGTCTGATTCTAGAGGCAATTGGAATGATTCACACCTGAAGTGAATGAGACACGGCCAGACCGACCATCCCAGGGCTCAGGGTTCCTTTTGCCATCACAGAGAGAATAGAAGCAGCAAGGACAATTCCATTACCCAGGAGCT